AATAAATTAGATTTATAAAAAAAATAGGCTAAATTCAAAAAATCATCTATTAACTTTCAATTTAATTTCAGTTTCATCTATTATCTTTGAATTGTTTCAATTCTGTCTATTATCTTTCACATTTATTTCAATTTCATCTATGCAGTTAAAGTTAACAGAAATCTTAACGGAAATCTTCTTAAATTTAGTACTCTAACTATGTTTCTTTTAATCTTTTAGTCCTTAAATTTATATTCACAGTAAAAATAGTTTTTATTCTTATTTTGCTAAATGTGTTTTTCAGAAAATTATTTTACAGAGCAAACTGCATTCAGTCCACCCTGTAAAATTATTTAAATACCCTTAATTCTATTTTTATATTTTTTTTATGAACATTTAAATAATTTTATAAGACAAATTGTACAGAATCTGTCCTATAAAACAGACTTACCTGTGAAATTTCTTATTCTAAACTTACTGAATTTCTCTGTTTGAATTACAATATATCTCTATAAACTATTTTTTGATTCATCATATTTTATTAGGATTTAAGTGTCACTTTTTTAAAACTCAAAGGACTGCTCTTTCCTCAAATCTAACGGCAATCTAACGTCATCTTTGTACGGTAGACTAATTTGAAATATTCTTCAAAGTTTTTAAATCATTTAGAAATGAAACAAACTTTCTAGACTAAAATGAAATTAAACTGAAAGTTAGTAGATGATTTTTTGAATTAAGCCAAAAATAATAATAATAAAGGGAGAGAGTAATAGTTTACCCATCCCTTTTTTGGGGTAATGATTTTAACGGAGAAAGTACGTGAAAGGACCTTACCGAATGAGTTTAAGAAGTTTGAGACCCAATTGCCAAGGAAATAAGGTTTTGGACCTCATTAAAATTCCAATATGAGTTAGGGATAATATTGACTATTTATACCCAAAAAAAACGGTGCTTATAATGAAATAATGTAATTTACCCATAATATCCAATAAGTTTATTTTTGGGTACAGTTAGAATATGTATTAAGGTCTCAATAAGGTAACCTTAATTTATATTTAGGTGGCATATGTATTGAAGATTAGAAGGCTAAATTCCAATCAAATATTTTTGTTTCTTATCTTATTTTGGGAGGTAATTCCTATATTTGAGTCCTTTTAGTAGATACTTTTACCATTGTATTATGGAAAATATTATGACATAGCTGTTGACTAAATGGCTGCGGACTTGGTCTTAGAAGCCTAGTTTAATTTAATGGCTTCCATTAAACAATAAACAGTGGCATATTTATTTTAACATATAGTGTGTAGGTTAAATGATGAAAAATAGTTTTTTTTTTTTAGTATGTCAAATGATGAGTTTTATAATAGGAAATAACTATTTTCTCTCATTCCTAAATCCCTTCCAATCAATTGCAATATTTAAACTTAAAATTTTTTATATAAAGATTAAAACTCTTAATCATTATAATAATCCCTTATGAAACATGAGAAATAATTTGTTGCTTTTTATTGTGTAAATTGAAATTAAAAAGAAAGAAAAAGAAAAAGAAATCATTGTTCTCTCCAAACTTCTTATTTCTGGTCTTAAAGACCCAAAATTTAGAAGTTCTATTGCAGTTGGGAAATTTTACCCATTCAACCATTTAGCAAATAGGCCAATTTTGATTTGTATATATAAAAGTAGGATTTTATATCCTATTTATGGTTAATTCTTCCCATGCTACATTGTAAACGGATATTAGAGGTTTAATGCTTTTTCACTAGAAAGTGATTTCCTTTTTTATTTGTGGATTGTGTTCGATGATAATCGTATAAATGTTTTTACCAGTATTAATGTCCTAACCATTATTGCTTGAGTCCTCTTCAATTTAAACTTAGGTTTCAACTTTCAAATTTGAACATTTGAGAGAAGAATAGACTATCTTTTACATATTCCCATCATTGGATGCACAATTTAAAATGTAATTATTGAACCAGCATTGGAGTAAAGTAGCCATTTTGAGAGGAGAGGGATTAAATAATTATTTGACTTGAATTGCACAATTACTGTTAATGCTCCACTACCTTGGTAGTCATGGAGTAGCAGGGAGAAATGCCACGTAAGGCTGGCTGGAGTAACGGCCTAGCCGTCCCCTCCTAGGACATGACTTGTTCTTCTTTTGTTCCCTAAACTCAATTAAAATTATCTAAATGTTATTAATGATAAAAATAATATCTATTCTTACATTTTTTATATAAAATTTTTAAAAAAAAATAAAATTAATACATTTTACAATATTAAGATATTTAATCATAATAATTAATTATATAAAAAA